ACACACACACACACACACACACACACACATGCCTGCCACGCACTTTCACCCAGTTAAAGACAACATCGGCTCCTTAAGTCTGACTCACAGTTCAGATTATTCTAAAATATCATTCAAGCATTAATGCTGAGAAATAATGACACATCAGTAATACAGGCACCCTAAAATATATATCACATTGTAGCTGTAACTGAAATCTGTCAAAATGTTGATGTAATATGCCCAACATATAAAATTCTGAATTTGTAATTATTATTTGTTATATTTAAGATCGTTGTATGTGGGAGCATTTCTCATTCTTTTTCTATTTGTGCAGCCTCCTGACAGTGTGATTGTACTGATTAAAAATAAAGTGTATGTACAGTTAACACAGTATACATGTCCTTGCTGTCTGCTTTGTCCTTGTGTAGGAGTATGATGAATTGGTGGAGATGCAGGTCAAGCTTGAAGAAAAGCTCCAGGAGCTGGAGGCCAATCCACCCAGGTAACATTTCCCTGCCAAGTTTCAGTATAATCATCTCAACTGCTGCTCCTTCTCTTCCTATTTGAAATCCCACTTTTCATCACATATATATATATATAAGAGTCTGCATCGCCAACATCTTGTTTGTATTTGGAAAATGGATTATGTGCACCTGGACCAGCCAGAGTTGGGTTCTTACATCAGTACTTCTGAGAACCTAACCTGTTTTATATGCACATTTTGCAGTTATTCTGTAATGTTTGTCCATTATGGTTAAGAAACACTTTCTACATTATTGCAACCTGTTGCTCTGGTTTGGTTCAGTACATTAGCCCGTGATGTAACAGCCATTGTAGATCTCCGAAAGTCAAGTCACTGTTATTTATGTAGCACGGCTAAAACAACAGACATTGAGCCAGAGTGCTTTCCGATAGAGGAATAAAGACTTCTGACTGTTTTTATTAATTGTTCTTGTCAGGGGCTATCCAGGCTCGGTATAATAGACTGGCTATGCTGAAGCGTTCTTGGCTAATGTGACTGGAGGGAAAATAGTTTGATTGCTTAATGGTTATAAAACAAACTTGCTTGTTGGATCCCTGCAGTCCTTAGCAATGAGTGTTTACCTGTGTTGTGCCCTGTAGCAATTAACCTTCTGAGTTAATGTGATGTGTTGACAAACTTGATGTTAAATTACAGCAGTTTGAGTGAAGCTCGCTTTTGCTTGTGTCAATCTGTCCCTCAGATGTCTGAATAGTTGTCGGTGCATCTCACATCTTTTTCCTTTCCTTCTTTCCCACAGTGATGTTTACCTGTCGTCAAGGGATCGGCAGATCCTTGACTGGCACTTTGCCAACTTGGAGTTTGCCAACGCTACGCCCCTCTCCACCCTTTCTCTCAAGCACTGGGATCAGGTATATACACGTACCCATTTTGAAATGTCATAACTGTGCGATGCAACACTATTGTCAGGGCTAAAAAGACCCCCAAGGCTCTTACAATCCCAAATGCATAATAATTTATTGCGAGATGAAATTGAATAAACTTGGGCCATTCTGTTTTATTACATTGGGAAGTTTCTTGTGGCTCATGTTATAAATGTGTCCACAGGACGACGACTTTGAGTTCACTGGCAGCCACCTAACAGTAAGGAATGGTTACTCGTGTGTTCCTGTGGCCCTGGCTGAGGGTTTGGACATCAAACTAAACACAGCAGTGCGACAGGTCCGATATACAGCATCTGGTACGTACACAGGACTGTGTTTGTGTCCGCCACTTGACAAAAGTGAGGGAAAATCCCACAATTAACTCGAGCTTATAAGTGACGTTCATGTGAAGTTGTAATGTATGTTAAAAGGTTTCTATCTGTTTATGGTTCAGGCTGTGAGGTGATAGCTGTGAACACTCGCTCCACGACCCAGACCTTCATCTACAAGTGTGACGCCGTGCTGTGCACACTGCCTCTTGGTGTGTTGAAGCAGCAGCCTCCTGCAGTCCAGTTTGTCCCCCCACTGCCAGAGTGGAAGACATCAGCTATTCAGAGGATGGGCTTTGGCAACCTCAACAAGGTTGGACTTCTAAATTCCATATGGCATCATCATTTATCTCACTCAGTCTCCTTCTTGAGCTCAAACTACATTCAGATTTGTCTAGATTCAAGACATAAAACTGGAACATGTTTGATGAAGCCAAGATGGCCCCGAATAGTCTCATGTTGAAGTGGGAGGCCAAAGATTTTGATGTTAAATCCTCATCCCCTACAGGATAATATATGCCAGCTGTGGTGATGTGCCAAATATTTTGCTCTCCAGTTTAAACTTCTTGGTCCTGAAATGACTCATCATGTCAAATCAGAGTTCAAGTCTCTTAAATCTGTAGTGTTTCCTGCAAGACTACAGATTTGGTTCCGTAGGAAGACTTATTGCTGTTTCTGCTGCAGTGTCCTTATGCTGGCAACTTGACCTTCAGCTGCTGGAGGGCTCCTGCAGGGAAAATACAATGATTATTCTTAATTTATTGATTGGGTTCCTTGGAGGATTATCATGTTCAGCTTGCAAATTGCTAAAACTGCACCCCTACTGTATTTAACAGATTTTCCCCTTTGTGTCTGCTTTTCCCCTTTTATAAATTATGTCTATATGTTTAGAATACAGCCAGAACAGCCAGTATTCCCCCTACAGCCTCTAAGATTAGGGTTCTTTCCTCAGATGGAAAATAGGGAATCAGATTGAGAAGGTGGCAGTGTACGGGGAGGTGGAGCTGGACATTGTTGGCATGCAAATAAGAGATGCTTTTTACCCATGTGTTAGTAATTCACTCAGAGTGCTCGTTCTGCGTCACTCCTGACCCACCAGCTCCTGCACACTCTGTCGCTGAGCATCATCTGCAGCAGAGCAGTTTTATCTCCTAATGCTGCTGCAGTACGGAGGAGAATGCTGCATTATTATGCAATCTGAGCTGCTACTACTGTCATATGTCCAGCAGAGGGCGCTCCACCATTCACATGGTCAGGACTGCTGTTTGCTGTAAATGTGCTGAACATGAGATGTACTTCACAGGCAACTGGGATTTGGACTAAAATAGGCACTTTTGTGTGAATGTGATTGTTGTGTGACTGTTCTTGTTTTGTGTTCCTCCCTCCCTCTGAAGGTGGTGCTGTGTTTTGACCGTGTATTCTGGGATCCAAGCGTGAACCTGTTCGGTCATGTCGGTTCCACCACTGCAAGTCGGGGCGAACTCTTTCTTTTCTGGAACCTTTACAAAGGTGATGCGATCACACACACACGCCGCATGTTGGTTTTGATATCATTCAGATAATTTACTGATGCCATTTTTTTGTGGAAGTGCTTTCCCTTTCTAATGCAAAGCGATGCAATATTAAGATCTGTTCATGTGTGCTCTTTGAATCTGTAAAAAAAATCAGTGTCTGTAACATATTGTCACATTTCACTTGTCAGCCCCAATCCTACTCGCTCTGATGGCTGGTGAGGCTGCTGGCATCATGGAGAACATCAGCGATGACGTCATTGTGGGACGCTGCCTGGCCATTCTCAAAGGAATATTTGGAAGCAGTGCCGTACCACAGGTATGTTTGTACATCATCTGTAAAAGTGAAGATCATGGCACTTTGTTGCATAGCAGCTTTATTTTAATCCCACTGCACATCATTTTCCCTCTCGTAAACAATGTCCATCTGCCATAGCTGGCAGTTTCTTAAATCACAACTTAATTAAGTTTGTTATTTGCAGAAAAGTAGTGGTGGGTTATATTTTCTGAGCTCAACCATTAAGTTTTTTTTTTTCCTTCAATACTTTTAGTGGAATGTAAAAATTCATTCTTGAATTGACCCCTATAACCAGCGCAGCGTTACACAGCAAGCATATGTGAAAGCACTCGCAAGTGGAGCTGCATCCAAACCACCCGTCATCATAAATCATTTACTTATGGTTTCAAATGGGATAAAATCATATGCATGCAGGCCAGCGTTGGAACTGTTCATCATACAGCTGTTTACAGGTCCCTCTAATACCATCATGGAAACTCCTTAAAAGTATGTGTTGTTGTTTGTTGTCATGACAGCCAAAGGAAACTGTGGTCACCCGCTGGCGTGCCGACCCCTGGGCACGGGGCTCCTACTCGTACGTTGCGGCAGGTTCTTCAGGCAATGACTACGACCTTATGGCGCAGCCCATCACACCTGGCCCAGCTATACCAGGAGCCTCACAGGTACCAAATCTCTATTCTGCAAGTTTGCATTTGGGAACAACTGTAAGCGTGTGAGAAAGTGAGGGAGAGAAGGCATCCCAGCCTGCCCACAATATTCAACCAAACCAAAGCAGAGCAGTTTGTTCCCAACACAGATGTTTTTTGGCTGTTTTGATGTTGGCATGCAGATTGATGTGAAGAAGTTATACTTATGTGTTGACTGATGACTTCTGACAGTCTCCTACCACACTCTCCCCCCTCCCCATCCCTCACCAATCCCCTATTTTCTTTTAATTCCTCATTATGTTGGAACAATTCAAAATCAATCCCAACATGTTTTTGTTTTGTTTCCCATCTCAGCCCGTCCCTCGGCTCTTCTTCGCCGGTGAGCATACCATCAGAAATTATCCCGCTACAGTTCACGGGGCCTTGCTCAGCGGTCTCCGCGAGGCTGGGCGCATCGCAGATCAGTTCCTGGGTGCCATGTACACGCTCCCCAGACAAGCCACCCCCACCGCCACCAGCAACCCTCAGCAGGCTCAGCCCACCGCCAGCGTCTGAAGTGGCCTCTCTCAGTTTGTGCCAACTCAGGACTGGCTGACCAACTGTAGTAGTCTGTGAAAAAAACATAAACTGGTGTCTGTGAGTGAAAGATCTCGGAAGTTCCAGAAACAACTTTGCGTTTTTGCCTTCAGAATGAAATATTGAAACCTCTTGAGTTGATTTTTCTGGCCGCATGTAATGTGGAATTGAAAGCCTTTCATTGGAGCATTTCAGTTCTTTGGACTTGTGTTCCCAGCAAAGTCTGAGAATATACATACAGTATACCTGCACTAAACGAACAGAGATGGACTACAAACACTGGGCTGTCATCAAACAATAAATAATAAAGCCCAGTTTTATTTCATACTAATTGAACAATCCATCTTAAACTCCCTAAAAGTGTGGTTTCTCTGTCTTTAAAAACAAAAGTATGGGATTACTTTTGGTACTTCAAGTGAATTTAATGTATTTGACCTAATGTGGAGTTTATCAGAGCCAAATGTCTATTTATGTCCCCCTTTGTGAACATTAAGGAATGGCTGAAAACCTCTTAACGTAATGCAGACACAACCTAATATCCAGATATTATACATTGTGAATGACCAACTCAGTAGCACAGTCTCAGTCCAGCCTCAATCTGTTTTGCTTTTCAAGTGAAAAGCAGTCGTTACTCCAGAGGTCTTGTATTGGTTGTCTTAAGCAATGCTAAATACTGTAGTTGTATGCCTCTTAAATTTAATTTCTATCATTTAGGTTGCTGAGTGTAGTGAAAATAGTTTGTTTTAAAAGCTAAAAAGATGGATATGTTGAAAGAATTGTGAATGTTTTCTGTTGCCATAGCAGTTTAAGTCATTTATTATGGTCATCAACACTTTTTTATATTGTTAAATGTTTTGTTATTAAAAGAAGACGGAAAATTGCTTCCTGGGTTCAGTGTTTCTTGAAAATGAAACGCAAAAATGAGAAATAATTGTACCGTATATGTGAATTTTTAACGGTGCATTGATTAACAAAAGGCAATGCTTATTGTACTGGACTTGTGTTTTATTTTGCGATCTACTAAATTACTGCACATTCTTCTGTCTGCAGCTCACGTTTTCACACACACAGGTAGTGCTGACATTAACTGTTAATGGGAAATGATGGAAAAAGTAGCCAAAATGTATTATATTTAAAGGCAGCATGGCATAGATGGAGACTCTCAATATATCAATGTTACTAGTTTTTTTAAAAATCCACCTAAAAGCATTGAAATCATGAAATGAGGTGTTCCTGGTTTGCAATGGTGTAACTCAGTAAGACAGCACAGTGTGAGCTAGAATTATATTCTGAAAATGTTGCTGTTTTACACTTTTTCACAAAACTCAATATCCAAACAAACAACATGATACCTTGCATCCCAATGGGCCGTTGCTGGTGTCGCTCTTTGCCGGGTCCTTCATTTGAGCCCTGAGTCTTTTTTTACTTCACTACTTGTTTAAAAGAAAAAACTACGTAACACATTAATGACCTCAATTGTAAGAAGCAAGTGTAACAGGAAAAATATTTAGAAAATCCCTTTTTACAGGAGGTCAGTGGTAGAGTGTTTATCATAAATGTAAAAAATCGTACATCCACATAATGGACTAAACAAAATAAGTAAAACCGGAAAAAAACAACCTGCTAAATTGTATAATTAGAAATGATGTATGCATGTATATTTTTGAACCTTGCTTGAACAGACTAGCTTGTAGCCCACTAGACATCACTGCATCACCTGGGCTGGTATTATGTGTAATGCTAAATTGCAAAGTGGACACATTCATGCTAAAGCTATATTTAAAAAAAAGATAAAACGAGAGATTGGAAAGCAAATTTGTAAAAACAATTGCTACAGGAACAAAATGTTAATACTTAAGTTGGACAGCTAGCTGTACACTAGCTCAGTTTCAAGGAATTAGCTTTGCATGGCTAGCCTGTTGTTGGCCTTTGTTAGCGTGACCTGTAAAAAACATAGACCGTATAAAAGATGGACGTAGCTACCGTGACGTCACCCGTTGGTTTCTGCACTGAGAAAATGAAGCCAGGGTTTTGCTACTTCCTGGTAGACATCTTGGATTTTTGGAGCCAGTGACGCAAAAATCGTCGGAGGGGGGCGGAGCCATAGGAGCAGCGATTGGTCAGACGGATTGAGAGGCGGGCCCTCTCTGTCCGCCCACATTTACCGGCTTCTCCTCGCTTCATCTGTATGGTCGCTGCCGACTGTCAATCAAGCCAGCCACGCCCCTTGCCCCGCAAAATTTTGACGATTTTTTAAAAATTCAGTATTGATTTATTTTCAGATTGGCCACCTGATCTCTGGACTTGACCATGAAAACTAATTTAAAAAAAATCCTGAGCTGTAGGAATGCGGTATTTGGTGATCTGTGATCACTTCTTTTCCAATTCCAGTCTATGGGAGCCAGGGCTTTTTGGAGCCAGCAGCTAGTGGACGTAGTGATATTGCAGGTTCTTGACACTTCCGGGTCGGCTTCATTTTTCGGGGCCGGTTGCTACGTCCATCTTTTATACAGTCTGTGGTAAAAAAGGAACAAGGCCGACTCCACATTGGTCTTTAGCCACTCCCACTGCTCTTACCATCTTCCTTCTTCTCCTTGAAGGTCTTCTTTTGGCTTTTGTGCTATATGCTTTTTTTGGGGGGAAGAAGATGTCAGAAACTTAGCCATAGTTCATAGCCATAGCAAGCACAAACAACCTGATGACCCTTGTTTGTGCAGAGGTGCTGTGATTGGCTGGTTACATGCCAGCTCATCCTGATTGGTCGTTTGATTCAGACTGATGTTTAAAAATACTAAATATAAAGAGGCAAAGACACAGACAGACATATCTTTAAAAGTCAGTCTTTAATTACATACTTTTAAGGAAATGTAAACAAAAGTATAATTAAATAATATCGCCTACTGCAGCTTTAAAATTCAAATTTGTCAGATTTTAACGGAGCTCCAACTGCCTCCTGAACTGCTATTATCTGCCAATGTGTCGTTTTTTTTTTCCCTTGTACATGCAAGAACAAAACTAATATGGCTGCTTCTGCTTTGACCCGCCACTGACCCTCCTTCATTGCACGTCTGGCTGCTTCCCAGGGTCTGTGGTACTACTGTGTGTGTGAGAGAGGGAGAGATGAGGGTCCCTGGCAGCAGCTCCACATAGTGGGGGATCTGATGAATGAGGGGGGAGATTAAAATGGTCAACCATGAGCTATGAGCTTTTCAGGGCTCTGTGCCCCTCTGTTTCCATGCACTCTTGAGCGTCACAGGCCTTGTTTTCCCTCAGAGCTGCGGTTATTATTATCGTGACCAAAGGAGATGTTTGATGTAACAACAGTAATTTGAGCTGGGGTTTTGGACTGCAACACTCAGATATTTTCACCTCCCTGGTAAACCATAGGCTCAGAGCAGTGTGTAACTGTTGACTGGTGAGGTTGTTTTTCATAATAGCCTCTAGCCCACATCAACTGGTTACTTGATAGTGAGGCAGGCATAGAAAGTCGGAGTTCTAGAAGTCCTCTGGATGAGCCACCACAGTGTTCCTGAGCACACGGGATTCATAGGTGTTGGGCAGAATGTGACGCTTACACAATTACAAACACCTCCCACGTGCTGTTGCATCAATTTTTGACAGGATAAATTCAGAAATGATCACTGGTCACTGCAAAAGCTTCAGTTAAAGTGCCTATCAATCTGACTTCAGGGACACAAACACCCGTCCTCCACTTTGCTCCACACTGAAATATCTAAACAGTCATTCAAGCTTTTCAGAGGATGAATCCTACAGACTCTGACTTTCCTTTTAGCGCGGATCAAACATTCGGTGTACTTTGGTTTATGCAAAGCTGATGCTATTCCCGTCAGCCTCCTCCACTTTATTATTGCCACTAAAAACCACTGTGAACATGGTGTACTGTTTGTACTGTGAGCATGATGCTGATGTTGTCGGTGTGGTTGTAAACTCTTGTTTCTCTAAATTACATAAAATCCTATTCTACATGTGCAATCATCGATTTCGTTGCGCTTCTAAGGCTGAACACTTGACCTCAGCCACTATTTGGATGTACTCACACAATGAATATCCCACTCACTTTATTTTTTAACACCCCTTCTCACTCCTCCATCTTCCACATTCTCCTCCGCTTGCCTGGAGTGCCACTGAGTCATTTCCATGGTTGACTTCACAGCACTAATTCAGGTCAGGCATCGGCGCTGAGGCTCAGGAGTACCAGGGTCCAAACAGGCACCACTGTGTTGTAGCACCTCCCTGCATCTGAATTTGGGACAGATTAAAGCACATGAGAGTTAACCCCTGACTCCCAGCCATCTAAACTAGTGACACCTGACACAGAAATGTATGATCGGTTGTCTTTTGCAGGTTTGTTAGATGGCAAACAATTAACTGGATGTGATCGTTGTTCATTTTCTTTCTACTCTTTTATTCACAGCAGACATTTTGACTGGACAGAGGAGGAGAAGCAAAGGTGCTGCTTAAAACAGTTACAGTGACTTCAGTATTTTCTGGCTGGGCCTTAAGACTAAATTCTGCAATTAACATTAATTAATTAAGATTTTTCAGCCATATATCAAAATGTCTGTTGTGAAATGTTGTATTTTAAAAATGCATTTCCTTTTTTGTTTATATATACATTTATTAATTATTATATTTGTTAATTTATTGGTTATAATTGCTATTCATTCCTGTACTGCAGAACATTACTGAGGAAAAATACTTGATTATATTTTCCTAATAGCTGAAGTAAGTAATCTGTTTTTCATTGCCAGTAGTTAAATCGAGCTCACTGACCAACTTCCAACATTGGTGCATTAATATTAACGCAATTTATTACAGATATAACAACAACATATCACACACAAAGGCCATTTTTCCATGTGTTGCTTTTATTTTGATACTTTATAGGTTGCTGCTAATTTTTATGTAGTTTTACAAAAGATTTTTAAATTACCAATTGTAATGGACTTTTTTGAATCCTGTATCGATGTTTCCTCGACAAGATGGTCAGAATATTTCTTCTGTTGCTGTAAATATGGTAAGAAATTGCAAACATTTGCCGTCACAAGTTATGAGAAATGTTTCACTTTGATGCAAGAAAAAAATGGAAATAAATTGACAGTGCTCACAGACATGTTAGCAGCTAAACGCACCAAATGTGTACAGTGGAAGGATTTGATCCTAAATACAGAACGTTTTATTTTTTTCTTACTCAGTAAATAATCACTATATACACAGCTGCCTGTAAAAGTCTATGTATAGTCATGTGAGACTGGGAATACACACATTTCTAAAGTTCAGTCCTGCAAATAAAAAGCAAAGTAGCTGAATTCAACATGTTGAGGCCTGTGCTCTGCACAAAACTGAAAACACCAGGCAGCTTGAGTTAATTTAAGGAGAACGAAAAAGTAAATCACAGCTCTTCTGAAATTCACTTGGCATTCATGTTTTTTAGTCAAGTAAGTGCAATTTACAATTGGGGGCTGGTTACGAGTTCATAAAAAGTCTGATTTATCAGCCGAGATCAAGTAAGATTACATGATTATTTAGAAGTACCCTAAAGTTGCAGGAAAAGAAACGCTGGCTTTCACAAAGCGAGGCGTAGCTGCTTAAGGGAAAGATGCGTGTCTGCTGACTTTGCATTCCACAGCAGCTTGTGGTTTTCCTCCTCGTACCTGAACAATTTGCCTCATTTGTCTGCATGCTTATTTTGCATACCGTCAGCTGCTGTTCTCTCTTTCTTTGTCCCCTGCTGTAGAAACCAGGAGATTGGATTCTCACACACAC